TGAGATTTGGTAAGAGGGGCAAGCTTAGCCCTAGGTTCATTGGCCCGTTTGAGATTCTTGATCGAGCGGGGGAGGTGGCTTACAGACTTGCATTGCCACCGAGTTTATCAGCCGTGCATCCAATGTTTCACGTGTCCATGCTTCGGAAGTATCACGGCGATCCATCCCACGTGTTAGACTTCAGCACTGTCTAGTTGGAAAAGGACTTGTCCTATGATGAGGAGCCGGTAGCTATTCTAGACCGGCAGGTTCGTAAGTTGAGATCGAAGAGTTTCCATTCTGTTCGTGTTCAGTGGAGAGGTCAGCCTACTGAGGCACCGACCTGGGAGTCCGATATGCGGAGCCGATATACCCATCTTTTCTCCGACTCACGTACTTCCTTCTTATGTCCGTTTGAGGACGAACGGTTGTTTTAGAGGTGGAGAATGTGATGACCCAAAAGGTCATCACTTGTTTTAGAAATAAATTATGTGATCTGAGGCCTTAAAACCTCCTTTTTGTCTTACCTCGATTTGCGTGCGTAGTCCGGACGTGTATCCGGAAAGCCATTATGTGAAAATCTGTAAAAAATAATAAATTTTGCTTTTAAATGAATTTAGGTTGACTTCGGTCAATATTTTGGGTAAACGAACCCGGACCTGTGATTTGACGGTCCCGGAGGGTCCGTAGGAAAATATGGGACTTGGACGTATGCCCGGAATCGAATTCCGAGGTCCCAAGCCCGAGAAATAAATTTTTGAAGAAAATTGTTTAACTGAAATTCTTAGAATTTTTGGAAATTTGAATGTAATTGAATTTGATGGTATCGGGCCCATATTTTGGTTCTGGAGCCCGGTATAAGTCTTATATGTGATTTAAGTTGAGCCTGTAAAATTTGGTAAGAAACGGACTTGAAATGACGTGAATCGAACCTTCGGTTGTTAAAATTTGCACTAAGAGTTCATGAGATTTTTCTTTGATTTTGATGCTAAATTCATAGTTATTGATGTTATTTTGATGATTTGATCGCACGAGCAAGTCCGTATGATATTTTTGGACTTGTGTGCATGTTTGGCTTGGAGCCCCTAGGGCTCGGGTGAGTTTTGGATAGGCCACAGTGAAATTTGACTTAGGAAAACTGCTGGTATATTGTAGACCTGCAGGCTTGCGAGCCTGCATTTGTGAAAAACCCATCGCATTTGCGAGGACTGGCTGGATAGGGAACCTTCGCATTTGCGAAGCTTATGTCGCAAATGCGACCTTGACAGGCACCGCAATTGCGAACATTGTTCGCATTTGCGAAGAAAGCAGACATAGGCCATCCTTTGCAATTGCGAAGCTTTGGCCGCAATTGCAAGTTCGCATTTGCGAACCAGGCTTCACAATTACGATATCTGCGCCTGTGTAAATCATGACTTAGCCGAAAATCTTTTATTTTTCAAACCCTTTCAAAACCTAAACACCTTTGGGCGATTTTTCAAAGACAAGTACTCTTCCAAATCGATTGTAAGTCATTTCTAACTCGTTTTTATCAATCTTTAACATCTTTTCTCATGATTTCAACTCAAAAGTAAAGGTTTTCATGGGGGAAATTGGGTGTTTTGGGTAGAACTTAGGTTTTTCAAATTTTGGGGATTTGGACCTCGATTTGAGGTCCGATTTCAAAACAAATTATATATTTCAGTTCGTGGGTGAATGGGTAAACGGGTTTTGGTTAGAACCTCGGGTTTTGACCATGTGGGCCTGGGGTCGATTTTTGACTTTTTGGGAAAAACTTTAGAAAACCTATTTTCATGCATTAGAATTGATTCATTTAGCATTTATTGATATAGTTAAGTAACTTGTGGCTAGATACAAACAAATTGATGGTGGAATCAAGAGGTAAAGCGGTAATTGAGGCTTGAATTGTGTTCGTGGCATCGAGGTAAGTGTTTGGTCTAACCTTAGCTTGAGGGATTAGGAGTCGTGTCTTACTTGCTATGTCTTAGTTGTTGAGCACGACGTATAGGCATGATAACGAATATCTATACGTTGATGTCAAGCATGCCCGTGAGTTTTATACTATGATTAATGTGACTCCCTTTTGTATTATTCATGCCTTATGTGATGATTTCCATTGTTGAACGAGGCTTGTTGAAGTAATATTGATTGAAGAGCATTGGCTCAAGTTGTAAAATGATTTGTGGAAGTAATATTGGTAATTGAACATTGAAGAGCGTTGGCTCAAGTTGTAAAATGATTTGTGGAAGTAATATTGGTAATTGAACATTGAAAAGCGTTGGTTCAAGTTGTAAAATGATTTGTGAAAGTATTATTGGCAATTGAACATTATAGAGCATTGGCTCAAGTTGTGAATTGAGTTGTGAAGTAATTGTGAAAAAGAGAAGAGAATTATGATATTGTCTCCCTTGCCGGGATGTTATTGCTTTTAATGTTATCTCCCTTGCCGGGATGTTGTTGCTTTTAAAGGTTTTCTCCCTTGCCGGGATGTTATTGCTTTTGATATTTTTCCCTTGCTGGGATATAATTGTTGTACTATTGTTCCCTTGCCGGAATTTTATTTATTTTCTTGCCCTTATTGTTTGTGATTGTTGTTTGGGTGAGGAAGAGTGTTAAAGCACGAAGGGTGATGCCGTGCATTGTATTGGTGAGAGAATGTTAAAGCACGAAGGGTGATGCCGTGCATGATATTTGTGAGAGAGTGTTAATGCACGAAGGGTGATGTCGTACCGCACGATGTACCTTTCCGTGCCTTTATATGAGTGATAATGCACGAAAGATCATTCCGTGCCATGATTATGTGAGGTAAAAGCACGATGGGTGATGCCGTGTCGATTATATTGATTCTTATGGTGAGGACGAGAGTAAAAGCACGAAGGGTGATATCGTGCACTTGTCCTTGATTTTTCTAATTCTTGCTGATAATTGAGTTATGGTGTTCTTTACGTTTATTNCAAATACCGATAGAAAACCCTGTTGTTACTTGATTTTATTGTGATGTCATTGATTCCCTTGCCCAAATTGCTTGTAATTGTTGCTTGGGTGAGGAAGAGTGTAAAGCACGAAGGGTGATGCCGTGCACGATATTTGTGAGAGAGTGTTAAAGCACGAAGGGTGATGCCGTGCATGTTACTTGTGAGAGAGTGTTAAAGCGCGAAGGGTGATGCAGTGCACTTGTCTTTGATTTCCTGATTTTTAATGATAACTGAGTTATGGTTTCTCTACATTTAACCGTTGGTTTTCTTTTGATTCTTGTTGTTCCCCGCAACATGATTTCCCCTTCCTATCTTTAATTGTAAAGTTTGCCTTTATTGTCTGCGGTATATGATTTAACTGCACAGGTTTATTTGGTAGTCTGGTCCTAGCCTCGTCACTACTTCGCTGAGGTTAGGCTAGGCACTTACCAGCACATGGGGTCGGTTGTGCTGATACTACACTCTGCACTCTTTTGTGCAGATCCCGATACTGGAGCATACGGACCTTAGCTTTGGGTCGCTGCCTTCAGTCCATTCCCGAGGTAGTCCTGCAGGCGTCTGCATGCCTTGGCGTCTCCTTCTATCCCTTCATTCTGTTTCTTTTATGTATTTCAGAGACAGCGTTGTATTTATCTTTCGGACCCTTATTTGTAATATTCTTAGACAGTCTGTGAAATTGTGACACCAATTCTGGGTAGTCTATGTTTAAGGAATTGTATTGGTAATATTTTAATGGTTATAATTTATTCTTCCGTTGATTATATAATGTTGATTCATAACTGTTAGAGGATTAAAAATGAGAAAAAGGTAAATAATTCAATTGGTTGGCTTGCCTAGCTTTCACTAGTAGGGGCCATCACGACTCCCGAGGGTGGGAAATCCGGGTCGTAACAGGTGTAAAGGAGATATCCACACAAGCAATTACTTAGTTCACATGTGTTCTTAACTTAACCATAGTTAGGTCATTATAATTGTAGTTAGTCCATTAGTCTGATAATTGTACAACTATATATGAATTGGCTCTAGTTAGTTAGTCACTGCATAAAGTAGTTAAATAGCACTGTACATTGTAACTCAGATATATTGCAGAAGAAAATTTCATTAATCATGAGAATTTAACAAATTATAACGACACCAACGCTTAAAACACAAAAACCTCTTGAATGGATATTAAAAAATATTTTTTAAGAAAACAAAAAGAATCCATAGACTTTTTCTTTTCTTATAAGTAATAACATCATTAAAATCAATCATTGAGGTCACTTTAGAGCCATATTTTATTATTTATATATCATCTACATGCAGCAGGTAGTAACATGAAGCTTGGCACACAAATAATGAAAGAGAACAATACGTGTACTGGTGTTGCTTAGAAATTATAAAGGTATTAAACATAGCACACATGTAATAAAAAGGGGCAATCCGGTGTACAAAACATCATGAATTCACGCAGGGTTCCAGAAGGGCCTTATTCTAAAGGGTGTAATGTAAACAACCGGCCCTAATGCAAGTATTAGTTACTATTTCCACGACTTGAACTCGTAGCCTATAGCTCTCAAGGAGAGACGCACGCAATCTACATATAAAATGCCACACACCCTCGTTTAGTTGCCCTTCAAAAGAATCCAAAAGCAAAAATCATCAATAAGTCTAGATTTATACAACTGAAAAAAGATTGATCATGAACCAGTCACCAGTTCCTAAAGTTTATGACTGCTCAAGAAAATACAGCTAAACTCTCACATGACCACAATGCTTAGAAATAGTTGCAAGTATAATGTGCACAACAACCAGATAAGGATGAAACACTGGCATTTGAAAAAATAACAACAACAAACCCAATTTAATCCCATTAGTGAGGTCTATGAAGGGTAGTGTGTATGCAGCTTTACTCCTAACTTGTGAAGATAGAAAGGTTTTTCCGACAAACCCTTGGCTCAGGAGAAGCATAATCACATCATTTGTTGAAAACCATGGAGAGGAAACAGTAACATGAAACAGTATCATCAACAGTAGGATAACAAGAAAACCTGCTGAAACACATGATGATAAAGAGCCTCACTATTATCATAATTAAACTGTCCACATTGATAAACTATCAAGAGGTAAACATTGGAATTTCCCATTTGAAACAACATAGTGTAAGCAACAACATTGTTGGAAGAACTAGATCAAATCAGAAAACAAAAGGACAGCAAAAGGAAAAAGAACATATTGTTGTATTCACTGCCTACTTGAACCTAAGCTAAAGAATCAAACTGCAAACACTTCGTCCAAATTTTCTACAGAACATATAACATTTGGTTGTGAGCCTACAACTCAATACTTACGCCGATTTCTGTCTGGAAAAACCTTTTGAAATCCCACCCTTTCACTTTTTCTACTTCATTTTCTTCTCAATTTTACATAGCTAGAACAATTCCACTTTCTTCTTATCACCATGCTTCTGATCCTCATTCAATTTTTCCTCGTCGCCTTTGGCTCCTTCAAATCTTCAATCTTGGAATCAGGCAAATCCTCATAAACAGGCAATGCCAATGAATCCGAAAACTTCAAATGAAAAGCTCTAACACCATCCAATTTCTTAGGAACAAACTCAGCAATTCCTTCAATAGCAGCCAAAACATTTTCCATAACTTCACCACTCTCCATCCCTCCCCTCCCAACCTTCAAAACACTACATGTCCCATTCCCTAAACACAACAAACTCGACGCGCAAGCTCTTTCTATTTCCTCTTTCCAACTACTATTCCCCCTTAAATCTACTGGCACAGGTACCTTCCTCTTCTTCTTGTAAAATTGCTTCCCTAATAAACCTGGAAGCAAATGTACCACTCTTTTATCAGTCAAAAACAATTCATATGAACCATACAACTCCCTTTTCGCCTCAAAAGACTTGTACTCAGCCTTCAACTTTGAAAATTTTAAAACTTTAGTTATTGGTATTCCTTCAGCTTTAATCTTTTTCTGCACTGTTTCAACATCAAGTTTGGATTTTGACATATGGGGTTTGGTCTTTTGCATTGTTTCAGCATAAAGATTGGATTTTGAGTTAAGGGGTTTTTTGGGTCTGTCATCAATAATGAGACAAATATTGGAAAAAGATTCAAGGGGGTGAAAAAGGGGGTGGGGGAGGGGGATTTTGTGGGGGGTGGTGAGTTCTTTTGGTGGGATTTTCTTGAGAGTTAACATAAGATAAATGAAATTATCTTCTAATACCTCTGCTTCTATTTCTTCTTCTTGTTCTGCTTCTTCATCTGATAGTAAAGATTGGTTTTTGGATTGAAGTTTCTTCCATTTGAGAAGAGCATTTACTGCCTTGAGCACTTGGGCTTCGTTAATTTTCGCCATTGTTGCTGAGTTGGGGAATGGTGACGGCGACTAGAGAATTTGTAGGGATGGTGTTTGGGGAAAGGGTTATTTACAGTTTTGGTTCATATGGTTTGGAAGTTGTGAGAATATTGTCCTACTTTTTATAGATTTTGCATATAGATTCCTAACTATTGAAATTTTGAACATTAACCTAAAAAACAAATCAATTTCGTTATGTGTTATCAGTATAGTTAAATTTATATTATCAATATTGTGTATAATACATAAGGTTAAAGGTAGAGGGTTAAATTTACTCTTGAAATATGTGAAATGGTCTAGTTTTATTATCCGTTAAACAATGTGGTTATTCATGTCCATTTAATTATAATTTTAACTCGAAATAGCGCTTAATCTGTTTGTCACGTTTAACTTTGCCATTCGTTAAAACTTAGCGATTAAAGTATAGACTTGATTCAGTTAACAACGATCAAAATTAAAACTTGGTTTGGCTCAGCTTTGTTTTGATAACGTTCAACTTTAGCTTGACTCGTCTCAATTAATTCAGTTGATATGTATAATTATCGATTTAAAAATAAATTTCATCGATCAAGCATAGTTATTAAGTGAGTTAATTTATAAATGTTAATATAATAATTAATACAACAAGTATTAACTAGTAGCATTGCAATTTTATAGTACTTCTTTATTTTATGTAATTAAATTGTAGTTACATACTAATGCAAGCCTACTTTATGATAGAAGTGAGATGTAAATAAGATTTTAAATTTAAGAATTCAAAATTAATAAAAAAAATTAGTGCGAAATTGTTTTAATTTTAATTTAAACTGGTGATTCTTAAAATTCAATGGCACGTGAATTCAATTATCACAATAAACTATTTCCAATTCATATAATTTGCAGCAGCTCAATACAGTCATACGACGTTGTTGCCACATTACATTTTGCTTCCCCTTACTTCTCAGACTACTCTGAAACGCCGTCATCAATCAAGCTACAATCATGGGTTTCGGAGCCCTAAGATCCATCATCCGACCCGTTTCGAGAGCACTCTTATCGACCCGAGCGTCATCCGCTTTACCTCAGTTCAACTGTCCGGCGACCATCATTTCTCCGTCGCCGGAGCTCCGTCATTTATTCAACAATCTCCGCCCTAAACTTCCATGGATTCCACCGTCCAGTGCTTTCCACAGCTTAACTGACACTCGCTTCCCAAAGCGAAGACCTAGTCTCAAGTCTCGCCGGAAAAGAGCTAGCTTGAAACCGCCAGGTTAATGATTTTCATTTTCCTGTTGTAATTAATTACTACTCTTTTTAGTTTGGTTTTGAAGCCTAGGGTTTTGGACTAGGGTTTAAGATTTTATGCCATTTTCGTATTTGGGCATTTCATTCTGCAAATTATGATTTTTTTTTGGCTTTTAGTATAAATGAAAATCTTTTACTCCATAGAAGAAATGTTAAAAAGTTAAATCATAAATCAAGGTGAGAATGCGTATTAATTAAAGTATTTACCCCATAGAAAGTGTCTTCCATAGTAAATATTTTAGCTTGGGGAATCATTTTCTAGTGTTTGGTTGGGATTTTAATTTTACAAGGTGGAGGATGGGACATGTGGATCTGTTTTAATGAAATATTTGAGTATTAAAGGTTCACAACAATGTCTAAGTGTTGGTTGATATAGAGTAAGAGTTGGGATTGTAAAGTAAAATGGCCCTTGATAGGCAGAATTACCCGGTAATTGTGTTAGTGGGAGATAGCAAGTACCCGATGGAATTGTCAAGGTACGCGTAAGAAGGTTTAAAAAAATAATTCTGTCATTAGTTATGGAAGTCAACTTCCCTTCTTTTGGTCGAAATTATACCTTTGGAGAATATTTTTCAACAGTTCAAACTAACCGCATACTTGAAAAAGGAAAACTTTTTCCCTAAAAATATTTTCTGTCATTCCAAACACACTTGGTATGTTTAGGATTTTTATCAGCTTTTGGATTAGAAAATATGAAAATAACTTAGAAGCTTCGTTTTTCTTTTGGAACTTAGGTCCATATGCGTGGGTCAAATATGTGCCTGGTGAGCCTATAAGTCCAAACAATCCCAATGAAGGAAGTGTCAAGCGAAGGAATGAGAAGAAGAGAATTGGGCAGCGAAAGGCGTTTATTTTGGTATGTTGCTACAGCTTTTGATTCTATTAATCTTTTCTGAGATGAATCCTCTTGGTTCTTGAGAAGAAGCGTTCTTTTATCTTTACCTTTTCATTAGAACAAAAAAAAGCGTTATTTTCTTGATGAGTAGATAATTGGATTATCTTAAGGTTTGCTGAACATAAGAACATTTAAGCTAAAGTGGTATGTAAAAAATTTAAGGGTCAAGAATTGCAGTCACACCGAGCTTCCAGAAACTTGATATTAGCATTGAACTTAATATGCAAAAGGCTGTTCATATGCTATTTTCTGATGCTATATATATATATTTGATATCGTGTCTACTGCAAACGCAACAATCAACAGATGATCCATGCTTTGTTTGCTATTTTGACGCAGCACATGTTGGTAGGCTTTCACGTCGCTATGTCTGAACATGTCTCTTAAGTCACTCTGGCTTGTACCATGAGACCTTAGGGGTCACTTAACTATGCCCGTTCAAAGTATTTTTGCTTGAATAAACTCCTGCCCCAGATGATCGAATCCAACTTATCCTGATGCGTAGCTAGTTATTAGGACAGTAAAATAAGAAAGCGAATAGCTTATTGCATCAAAAGGCTCTCTTGCTACAAGTTGATCGCCCTTTCACAAAAAGGTAGATTGTTATTTTGCATGCTATATATTTTGAATGACTATCAAGTGCTCGTTCCTCGATATATTTGTTGGCGACCATGCTTCCAAATTCCATTACTAATACAATCACATGAGACTTATTCAACATTGCTTTGTCTTGGTTCCCTAAAGCTCCCAAAGCCTAATATGAAATTCACATTAACCCAACAAAAACAAAAAAGAAGCAGTACACAAGCATACGATGGTGTATCCAATATACAAAGCAAAGCAAATTGCACCCTACTAACTGAATCAGCAAATCAAGCCTCACATCTCTCTGCTAGGCTTGGAGACTCTAAGTATCTAGTACTAACTATATTTTATAGATGAGCATACAACCAGTTTGAAAGAAATAAAGAGCTGCAAGAACACCTTCTTTCCTTATCAATGCACAATCTAGTCGATATAGTTATGCAGCAGACCCTCCTCGGTGTGAAGATTTATTACTTGTATCTTAGTGGGGTCTACTCTCATGTTCCGGAGACTTATCTTCTTATACAAAACTGTTTTCTCTTTAATGATGTCTCCTCAATGATTTTCTTGGTTTGGATCAAGCATTAAAGTTGGCAACTTAAGGTTCAATACAGTTTAGCCGGGTTTTATACTGTTTGAATCATTTGTAGTTATCATTATTCGTATGGCCAATGCAGAAACTGAAGAAGTATCTTTCAAGGAATCTTTTGATTTCTCTGTGCATTCCTTGAATTAATAAGTTTAAGTTTGCTTTCTGAGATCCTAGTTTCGTTAACCAATCCTTTTTACTATAAATTTGGTTTTATTTTCATGGACAGGCTGAGAAGAAGAAGCGCAAAGCTCAATTGCAGGAGGCCCATCGGAAAAAAATGAATAAGAGAGTAGAGCGTAAAATGGCTGCAGTTGCAAGGGATAGAGCATGGGCAGAAAGACTGGCAGAACTGAAGAAGCTCGAGGAAGAGAAGGCAGCAATGGCTTGATGGTTATTGAGCAGAGTTTCGATCTGTTGATTTTTCTCTCTTGTTTTTGAGAGTGAAAAATAGTTAATCCCTTATTTAATAGGCACAATTTCCTTCACACAATTTTTACTGCTGTCATGTTTTCTTGAGGTTAATTTCTACCTGTCTTTGTTTTGTTATCTTGCCTTAGTCTTGTTTAAGCAGAACGTGTGTCCTATCTCCAAAGTATACCCGTATGTTTGCCTAGGCATCTTGAATAATTTTGGGAGGAAGATTAGACGTAGAGAAATGAGAAATCTATATTCTGAACATGTGATTTCGATATAAAATTTTACTTAGAGAGATTGTGTGGTTCATGTATTTTGTATGATTTAGAGTAAAGCTAAGTTGTTTAAACTATCCAGAAACAAAAAGGAAACTTTTCGAAATGGTGCATGATATTTTTCTCATTCATGTTTCCAATCCTCGTTCATTATCTACCTCGTTTCTTATCTACAAATCTCCTGCTTAAAATTTGACACTACTATACCAACGCTGAAGAACTGGCACAAAATGTCACTTTGTTCAACATTTTATCGACTAATTTATACTGTGATAACTAAACAAGTGTTAATTTGCTACTCATGTTTATACTTTATTTCTACCAAGAAGGTTAAATTAATCTTCTTTTCTTTTCCTTTTAATTTGTTTTGAGGTGGGATTGGCCCATAAAAAGGGCAGGAGGCTTACTATTAATCTAAATATCTAATTGATGTAGGGATGAATTGTAACCATTAAACTGTAGTTTTAATTCGTAAAGATTTAACTATTTGTTCGTTATCTATGTAGCATTTAATTTATGGGATTAAGAATAAAATCAAGATGCTGTTTTCATAATTGATTGATAGCAACAGCCTGTAGGGAAACCAGGTGTTTAGGTTAGGCAGAGTCGCTTATTTTCCCATGCTCTAATATTTCTTTTGCCTTCACTAAATTTTATACTAAACAATTTGTATTTATTACCATTAGGGAATATGTACAACTCAAACAAATACTCCCTCCGGTCACTTTTACTTGACATGTATACTAAAAATAGATATCAACTTTTACTTTGCACTTCACGCATATCAAGTAAGGGTGTTAAACGGGTGGGCCGGGCCGGTCCGGGCCTGTGTTATTTGAACCCGTACGGGTTTGGTTCCGGGCCGGTTCCGGGCTAGGTCTTAACGGGTTTAACGGGTTCGGGTTCATCTGGGTAAAAATTGAACCGTAAGGGTTACGGGTTGAGGGGCCGGGCCGGGCCGGGTTTATTGTTTTTTTAATTTTTTTTTGGAATTTTGTATAACTATTGTAAGTTATATTAATACTTTGTATTAATTTAAAGAATACAAGAAGATGAGAAAAAATTGCACTTATTGGAAGTGCTACTTTTATTTCATAATTCAAATTTCAAACTTACAAATTGAAAGGTTTACATTTTTAACAATAAGTAAATTCAAAGGTTTTGCATTGCCTTAGTAAGTTCGTCATAATCAATATGAACTGAGTGACCTTCTTCTGGAGTGTTAAATTCGGATGGGTTACCATGTGTTAATATATCTCCAAGTTTCTCGTCTTCTGGGCTATCAACATCTTCACGTCCTTGATTTCTTCTTTCCGATCTAATCCAATCTCTGAAACATACTAAAACTTCCAAAGCATTGCTTCCCAATGAGTGACAGGTGTCTCCAAGTTGTTGTCTTGCTTGGCTAAACGCACTCTCCGATGCAACAGTTGAAATTGGCACATTCAGCACGTCCCGAGCCATTGCGAAAAGAACAGGAAATTGCTTTCCGTTCTCATGCCACCATCCCAACGGTGAAAATTCCTTTGTGCGAGGCTTTTTTTGCTTCTGCAAGTAGAATTGAAGTTCATCAATGTTCCTGCAACTTGTTTGAGTGTTAGAAAATGTAGAAAAAATATTAAAACTATCATCAAAGCCTTCTTCATTATTCACAGTAGCAGAAGTGCTACATTGCATAGTAGGATTAACATTGCCTACAGTACGAGCAGCATCATCAATTACATTTGCATAATAATTATATAATTTCTGTAAATAATCATTTAGGTTGTTCATAGAAACATATAAATTTGGGGTTTCAGTTTCTCCAATCTCCATATAAGTATATAAAGCATTCATTAATTGGTGACAATCAGACATCTTAATAGAAGGATTTAAAACAGCACCAATTAAGTAAATCGGAGGAATTGAAAAGAAATATTTTTTGAATTTTGCTTGCATTTTTTCCACAACATCCTTATATTTTTCTTTCTTCTTAAATTCAAAGAGTAGAAAAGAAATTTCAGCTATATGTACTAAAGCCATAGTAATAGTAGGGTAATATGCTCCAGAAAACTCAACAGTAGCTGTATAAAATTTATGTAAAAATTTAACAACATCATTAATGACCTCCCAAGTACTAGTTGTTAACATACGGCTTGGATCAGTACAATGCGCATTAGCAACTTCAGTTATTGGGAATCTATATTTGTAGCAACATTTTAAAAATATATATGTATAGTTCCATCTAGTAATAATTTCGTCTGGCATGAATCTGGGTTGAAGGTTATACTGGACACACTTATTCTTAAATTCCTTTATTCTAGATTGTCTATTATTTCCTTGAATAACACCAACTGCTCTTCTAACATGAGTAATCTCAGTTGAAAATAAATCAAGGCCACTTTTAACAATTAAATTATAAACATGACATGCACACCTAACATGGAAAATTTCATCAAGAGGTGGTTGCAAATGCATTTTTAATATTGAAATTGCGGCATTGTTGTTAGAAGCATTATCAAAAGACATACACAATACTTTTTGCTTGAGATTATAAAATTCAACAATTTCACAAATAGTACTACTTATAAATGCAGCAGTATGACTCTGATCCTCATCATATCTAAAAGCGATAATACGTTTTTGCATACAAGTAGTATCATCTATCCAATGACATGTAATTGTCAAATAATCACGTCCATTAACAGCATGGCCAATGTCAAAAGTTAGAGAAACTCTACAAGGAAGGTGACTAAACAAATAACGTATATATGTTTGATATTGTCCATGAAGTCTAAAGATATCAGCTCTACAAGTATTTCTAGGGATACCTTTAAATAAAGGATTGTAAATCCTTTGAATATACATAATAAGATATGACAAAGAAGCAAAAGAAAAAGGTAGACAACCTAAAGCAATCATTTTTGCTAACTCCTCACGATCCTTTATTTTATCATATTTAATTAATCCTCCAGTACTAGGGTTAATAGTTGCTTGATTTTCATCACCATCAGAGCCCCATTCTATGGGATGTGCAATTCTCATATGTCTACTAAGCGTTCCAGTTCCCCCTAAATTTCCTCCAGTCAAATGTTTAAAATCATCTTTATAAAGTTTGCATCTAACTCTATCAGTACCTTCAATTATTTCAAAAAAATTCCAAACCTTACTTTTTTTTCTACGATTAGTAGTCGGAGCCACAGGTGGTCTACCAGTAGTGGTGCCACGACCACCACCCCTTGTAGCACTAGCAACTCCAATACTACCAACTCCGGCACTAGTAGGTGTAGCTGGTATCTCATCTTCTATTCCTATTTCATTATCTTCTATTCCAAAATCTTCTTGTAATTGTTCATAATCTATATCTACATTATCATTAGGCGATGATTCAGAAACATGTGTAAATGGGTTATTAGTATTACTACCAGAAACTGAAGGACTACCTCTTTTTTTATTTCCACTCCTACCAGTAACTTTTCTACATGCTCTTCTAGCAGCACTAAATATATTGTAAAAATTAAAGTATAAGCTAAAATTAAATATGCAATTAAAATATTAAATAAGAAAAAGAGTTGGAGGGAATGCACCGAATTCGACAATAAATTGAGCACTTGATTACGCAATTCCGGTGTTACCACGAACAAACGTCAAGTAAGTATTTCAATTTTGAACTTCAAACTTCAAATTCCGAATGACAAATTCCGTATTATAAAATTAGAAGATGAAATCTTGCAAATTGAAGAATGAGAGAAATTGAGAAATTGAGATTGAGATATGAAATTTGAGTGAAGAAATGAAGAAGGGGGGGGGGGGGGTATTTATAGATTTTAAAAAGGTTAATTTTGTAAAGTGTTAAAAACATAAAATTAAAAAAAAAAGGCCATTTATGCAATAAACCCGTTGGCCAACGGATATTTCAGAAAAGCCTGATCTCCAACGGATAGTGGGCCCCATTTGTTCAGCAAAAATTCAAAAAAATTTAAAAAAAAACTGTTAACCGTTAACCGGGCCGGTTCCGGTCCGGGTTAACCGGTTTGGGCACTGTTCATGCCAAACGGGTTACCCGGGTCCGGTTAACTGGATCCTAAACCTAACAAACCCGTCCTACCCAGCCCACCCGGCCCCATATGAACCGCGCCGGTCCGGTCCCGGTTTGTACCGGTCTGGGCCGGTCCGGCAACGGCGGCCCGTTTGACAGGTTTAATAGCAAGAGAAGACAACTAATTTTTTGCTATTTTACCCATAGAATTTATTACTCATTTCAAATTATTTTCTCAGATCCAATAAAGTATGCATGTGACCGGAGGGAATACAAAACTGGCTGGACAGAACCAGCATATGCTGTTGAGTTTCTTTTTCAATAGAAACGCTAGTATACTCAAGTATTTACTCTGCGCTACTTTATTTTTACCTTTAAGCTTCAAAAATTGGCCAGAAAACCAAAAAATGATTCCATACAAATTGACCATTATGATAACTTGTCAAATTGAAAAACTTTTGAATGATTTTTCAATATTAGTCCTATACTGCAGAACAGAATGCAGGTTAAAAAGAAACGTTACCATCTCAAAGCCAAACTTAGAACTTGAACCACTCCAAAACACTTTCTGTAAGGTGAAAGTGAAAAGAAATTTCAAAAGCAGTCGACAGTTTTTTTTGTTGGGTGTAAGCAAAAAGTTTAATTGCAAAGGCTATATAAGCAATAGGACGAACAACAGGCCTGTTTGCTTGAGATTTGCATACACAAATTTAATGATCATTCCAGTAATACTAAATAGAGAAATCCACTTCAAAAACACATCTCAAATTAACTAAAACCAAAAAGCCTAACAGTAGTTGATCAAAATGTAGGCACTTAAGTACGAGCTGCAGTAGGAGCTCCGGCAGGGCGTGGAGCTTGACCAGGCTTGGGAGCATCATCCTGAAATAACCATAAAGAAACAAGACAAAAGCTCTAAGGAGGCAGAAGAATTACATTGATTCAGCAAAAGCAAGTGAAACAAATATGACCCCTGTTATTTTCTCTTAAAAAATTGCAAGCAGATGATACTTAACTAATATAGAACAATCTACTTATTAAAAACTCCAACAACTTACACATTAAAGTAGGTGATATAGGTACTTAACATTTTAGCAGGCAAATTGTTTTGCTAAATATAGGTGAAAAAACAAAGATGAGATTCAGACATCAGCAAAACTGACTGAATTGCTTAGTACTACATTAATATATCTAAAAAAAATGTGATTTTTCTCCAAAGCAGGAAATAGACTTTAACAACTAAATTTGATCTCAATAGAGAAAATATTGCAGAAAAGAATTAAACATAGTATAAGTAAAATTCAGTACCCTTGGGCGTCTGAAGCGCTGTGGAGGCTCACGGACCCTCCTATCAGTAACAGAGCGGACCCTAACAACTTTGGAGTGGATGGCACATGAGACACAATATTGCATCTTCAAGTACAGCTTAGGAAGAGTGTACACTGTAAATACAAAAATATTCATCTCAGTACATTATGCAATATTGCATGTAAATACATAGTGTCAATGCACTATGAAGCTCACATTCAAAAGCACAAGCTTCCTGAACATCCCTCACTGCTGCTTGCTCAACGATGTTCCTCACAAGGAACCTCTTGATTGCTTTGTCCTGATAGACAAATCAAAAAGAAAAGCAAGCTATCAGATTCAATTAATCAACTAATATTCAATTGCAAAGAAGTTGCATCTGCTATACAGCACCTCTAACATGAAAAAAATTTCTCCAACATATACCCTACTCAGGAAAAACTGGTCTTTTAATTTAAAACCAAATTGATTCTGCAAAGCCGAGATGAAGAGAGGAGCCATAAAACTCGTCTTATTATCCCGTGGGCAAGCAGATATTGATATGTTAAAGCATGGATACTCCATTAATTAGCTTAGACAGCAAATTTGCACTAAATCAAACATTGTGAAGATCCATGGCTTCTCAAATTGCCTGAGTTCTAAGCAATTATCCAAAAACCATACATAAAGCATTTTATCCCAATCAATCAATCAACTATGCCTCAATCCCAAACTACTCAGAATCGGCTATATAGTCTTGTATAGCATTCAGCAATTTTTAGGCCAATTAATTCAGTAATAGATAACTTGTATTAAGGGGTCTCTAAAACTAGAGGCTCTCTGAATCAAAAGAGTAACAGGTGAACAAGCTCAAACAGCAAGGTTTAGAATTCCTATATATCAAGCTATAGCTCCAGATAGCCCACAAGAATTTAGTCCAGCGGTAAGAACACAACTTGTGATGTGTCGTTTAGGCGCACAAGTCACTGGTTCAAACCCAACAAAACATATGGTATTTAGGTGAAGGGTAGAGGGGCGAGCCCATTATCGCCCACGTTTCAAACATGGCACCACTGGACCTATTTCATGATTTTGAAAAAAAATAAATTATAGCTCCATTCAACAACACTAGAGATATCATTTACAACAAACTGAATAAGCACTCAAAAAAAATATACTAGCAATAGTCAGATAAACATCAAAATCATAACAAAATAAAGCTTGTTCCAACAATCTAAGCCCATTATATGCACACGTGTAGATCCTTAAACGTTATTTTATGCATAAGTATATCATTTATGCACATATGATTAACATAACAAACCCATCTAGTTTGATATAGAGATGTAGTAGTAGTTATTGTTGTTGTATAAACAATAATTACGAAGGAACAGACCTTAGGGCAGCACTTGCCGCAGTTAGAGCAGCGAATGAATTTAGTGTGGCCACGTCCATGCTTGTTACGACCTCCGTTTCTTCTCTTGAATGTCTGCAAATTTAGAGAAATAGATTTAGAAATTGTACATTTTTTCTAGGTATAATGTTTACGTTTGCTGAAGAAATCCAAAAGTTTAGCTTACCATTTTGGCCGGACGAGTTGTAGCAGCTGCTGAGCAGTGGATACGATGGAACTCTAATGGCGACCACTCTGCTTCTGAAGCTATCAGCTACTAGGGTTTTTCTTTGATAAGAGATGTGAAATATAAGCCTTCTTTGAAAAGCCCAATAAACATGGGCCGTCTTCAGAAAGCTCGAATACAATGGGCCTTTTTTGAAAGCCCAAATACGAGCGTCCAGATACAGAATTTTGTTTCTTTGTTTTTTATATTTTCCCTACGGTACTCATATTTATTGATTCATGTTTTTAATATATTTGAGATAATGATTTGAAATGAGTAATTAATACTGTAAGTATAACATGGAAAAAATTATCTTCTTTTAATATGTTGTTGAAAGTGACAAATAAAAGCGAAAAATTTATTTTTAAAATACAGAACAACTAAAAGTGAATAGAACGAATATTAATTAAGTGAAACATTTGAGGAAAAGATACTCATAGGAGTAATAGTTTTAAGCAAGTACTCTTAGGGGTCGTTTGGTATGAGCTATAAGAAAGTATAAGGGTGATATAAAAATTTAATACCACCTTAATACTTTGTTTGGTTAGCAAACCAGGTATAAGTTATCCCGGTGTTAATTTTAACACTGGGATAACTTATACCTTATAGAAGGTGGGTAATTAGCACTGGTATAACTTATACCTTTTTCTTAGAAATTATGCAATTGTCATTCTTAATACAATATACCAAACAATGAATAAACAACAATCCAGCATAACTAATCCCAGCATAACTTATTCCAATATAACTTATACCGGCATAATTTATACCGGTATAAATCATATTCCAACCAAGCGACCCCTTATATGTCAGTTAGTTTAGAGTTCCAAAATTTGCCAAATTTGTATTTTCCTTTTTTAATAAAATAATTTCTTATGAAAGTTTTTCAGAAAATATCATATCATCTACACATTTTTTATGATTTAATAGGAAAAAAGAATTACTCATAATAATGCAGTTTAAATTGTGAAATTTTTATTTCTAAATTACTTTGCAACATACTACTATATTATCAAAATATTAGAAACATAAATGCAGAGTAAGTTAACACAAGAAAATTTCCAACAAGTGTATTGTGTGTCTTATGCACTTGTGTATATTTACACTGGAAAAATAAAATAAAAGAAAAAAGAAAACTTAATAGCCGTCTAAAAGGAAGACTCCCCAATCCAACAGTAGATATACAATCCACGTCACCGATCCGAGTCATTCTCACATTCCACCAAAACCCTTTGGCGGGTTTTTATAAAATTAAATGTGGCGCCTAATTCGAAAAATGAAAACCACATTTTCCCACATTCCCTCCCTTCATTTCCTTCTTTAAACCCTCCAAATCCCCACATACCTTTCACCCAAAATTCTCTCTTCAATTTTCTGAAATTCTCAGTTCAATCAAAAACTCGTCGTAAAAATGGCTGGTGGTGGAGCATCAAAGTCTTCAAATGGCCCAACTAGGGTGAGAAAGAGGGTAGAAGTTGAATCTGCTACTGCTGCTAGTCTTAAACGTGCTAAAGATGGCAGCGCTTTTGCTCGTTGGTATGCACTATTCTATATTATCTGCTATTGTTTCTAACCATTTGATTTATGGTGCTGTAAATTTATTCATCATATGGATTTATCGGCAGATTCAGTATTTTAAGTCTCTGAATGTAAATTTCCAGGCATCCCTTTTTGCTTGGCACTATTTTTTGTGGATTTAGTACATATATGTAATTTTCTTCTTTAAAAAAAGTTAAATATAATGTTTAGTTTGGAGATGGTGTGTGTTTTTGTGTCATTTAGCATGTTCTTCGTTGTTTATTAACTTGGAATTAGTATAAACATTATTATATTGTCATTTGTAAGAGTTAAGTATATATATGTCAAGTTGAAGGTGGTGGTTTTTTTTTTTTTTTTTTTATAAAAATTTTGTAATCCATGAAAAAAGGAAATGCATTTGTGGTTGGGAAATTCAGTGAAAGATAATGCTGGGGTGTTTTGGTTTGATGGAATTCATGTGTTTGTGTAATTAATTAACTGAAGAATTGTTGGGGGTTTCCTTGTACTGTTGTTGACTATTATGTTGTATACTGACATGAATTGGGTTTTCTCTTCTTTTCATTATTGCAGTGATGAATGTAACAAGGATGTACCCATAGCATTAATTAATTTCCACAGTTGTAGCCTTGATGCAAAAATCAAAATGAATTTGGGTAATTTACACTCTGCCTTTCGTTAGACGTATCTCTTTATTCACTTGGAATTAATTGTATTAGGCATTTTGTTGGACTTTGTTAATGGACTAATTTGTTATTTGTACAGAGGCTCAGGTTGTGGAAAATGCAAGTGAAACAAAGAAACCAGCAGCAAAGTAATTTTCTTGATTCTTTGTTATATTTTGTCATTTTCATTCTGTGCTTGATCTTTTAATGGTTGACAGTATTCTTAAAATTTACATCATGTTACTATGTGATTTTGCACAGGAGTAAGGAGAAATCAACCGAACCAAAAGCTAAGAGGGAGAAGAAAGCAAAGAATCCAAATGCGCCAAAACGACCTCCCACTGCTTTCTTTGTGTTCATGTAATCTCTCTACCTTTGTGTATGAGTTTGCATTTATATATCAATCTGTAGTTTGTTTGGTATGTTATATACAATGCTTTGACATGAAATAAACATACATGCAGGGATGAGTTTAGGCAGACATTTAAGGCTACAAATCCTGATTGCAAAAGTGTCTCCACGGTAATGTTTAATTGAGCTCTTCCTGATATTAAAGCCTTTTGGCTCCATTTGGTGCTAATCTATTTGTACTTTTGAACCATTTAGGTTGCTAAGGAAGGTGGTGAGAAATGGAAGTCACTGACTGATGAGGTGAGTGGCATGTGTAACATGGTTTCTACTAGTTTGTTGTAATTGTGTCCAGTATCATTCTTACTCGCTTGGTTCAATTGTTTTCACCAGGAGAAAAAGCCTTATCAGGATAAAGCAGCAGAGCTCAAAGCAGCATATGAGAAGGCCCTGAAGCAGTCTAATACTGATGCTGAGAATGCCAATGTGGGTTCTTGTTCTATTTGTTATTGTTGTAAATTGTAGTCTAAATTCTTTTCCTATTCTTACATCTAAATTGATGATTTCAGGATGAAGATGAGTCCATTGAGAAGGAAGTGAAGGAAGAAGTAGAAGTAGTTGAGGAAGTGAAAGAAGAGGTAGAAGTAGATGAGGAATAGAGCTGTTGGTGTTTGAAATTTGTAGCTATTTTCCAGCCTTTTGAAATGACTAGTCTTGAGCTTATGTAAATTTTGATCATTGTCAACTTAGGTTTATTAGAAGTAATATATGGAAGCTTATGTTTAAGTTCTTGCTTTCAAGCCTTTTTGGAATGAAATTTATGTCAATTTTCTGATGATTCTTAGTTGCCATCTCTATGTCAAATTTACCAAGTGATAATTGATTTGTGTATGAGGTGATATGTTTGCAAGACATTAGAGGAGAACTTGAAAATGAAAATTTCCAATTCATGTCAAATTTATGTCTAGGAACAATGACTAACAAAGTAAGACAAAGTTGTACAAGTAGTACTAGAATTCAAAAAAAAATGTGTTTGGTTATTGCAAGCATAAATTCCTATGGTGTGGTCAGCATTTACTGGCCCAACTTCTCTTGTTTCTTTCCCTTACAAGGTGGCAAAGGCTTGCCACACAGGCATAGATTGTGGGCATAAGCAGCTGCAGGGAAGATGTTGTATGGTCTGCCTTGTGGGATTTCTCCACATAATCTGTTTGCTCTGAAGTTTGCATGTCTCAATTCTTCAATCCCCAACAAGCTATTTGGAATCTTGCCCGAAATCTTGTTAATTGACAAGTCTAACCATTGCAACTTCAGCAATGATCCTAGACCTATAGGGATTGTACCAGCAATTTGGTTTCTTGATATATCTAACCTCTCAAGCTTATCCAGATTTGAGATTGAAGTGGGGATTTGACCTGCAATCTTGTTACTTCCAAGGTTGAGCACTTTCAGGTTCAAGCCACCACTGAACTCTGGGATGTTTCCCGAAATTTGGTTGTTCGAGACATCCATCACCTCCAAAAATTTGCTTGTCTTGTTGCTTAAAATCCTTGAAAGTGAACCGAAAAGCTGGTTTGAATGCAGGTCAAGAGATGAAATTCCATCAGGCAATTTGATCAAAGCAACATCAGATTTTAATTGGTTGTTTGATATCTTTGCCTTTTGCAAGCTCGACATTCTTGCAAGGAAATTCGATATTCCATCCGTGAAGAAATTATCCGATAGGTCTAAGGAGTTCAGGGAATCAGGCCTCGTGAAATTTGGAAGCGTCCCACGAAGCTTACAGCCAGCTAAGTTAACATCAGAAAGTTCTCTATTTCTAATCCAATCAGGCACTGTTCCTAGATTGAAATTGTTGTAAGACAAGTCTATTGACAGAAGAGCAGGGAGGCCATTGGAAAAGGCAATAGGCAAAGGATCTAAGAGGGCATTTTTAGATAAACTAAGGTTCCAAAGATTTGGTAATCCTGCAATAGACTCAGGAATTTGGCCTGTCAACTTGTTAAAACTCAGTGAAAGAGAAGTGAGTGCCTTTAACCTCCCAATTTGGCTAGGAATTCTTCCTGTCATCCGATTATGATCGAGTGATAAAAACGAAAGCTTTAGCAAATTGCACAAGGAAATTGGAATTTGCCCTGACAATTGGTTACTGGAAAGGTCAAGATATGTCAAATTCTGAAGCTCTCCTAGAAAATCTGGAATCACCCCAGATAACAAATTGTGACTAAGATCCATAGACTGTAACTTAGCAAGATTTTTGAAGGCAATTGGTATAGGACCAGTGAGCAAATTTCCAGCCAAATTCAACTGCTGCAGATTCTTGAAATTCCCTATAGTAGAAGGAATTTGTCCTGACAAATGATTCTCACCTAGTGAGAGTGTCTGAAGAGAGGACAAATGACCTAAACTAGAAGGTATATACCCTTGTAGAGAATTATCATCTAAAATAAGTTGCTGCAATTTTGTGAGATTTGAAAAGCTCTCTGGGATTTTCCCCTCAATGTGTTTCATACCACTTATTATCATTGTTTCCAAGAAATGCAAATCACCAAGACTTGGTGATAAAATTCCCTTCATATAAATGCTAGTATCCCTCTCAGAAGGTCTTTGCAAAATCAACCTATTCACTCGTCTCGTAACAGGATCACACTCTATACCTTCCCAACCACCCCCACAACAATCAGTACCTGTCCAAGAAGAAAGAATATCAGTAGTGTCTTTCAATATCTTGGCTTTAAATCCAAGAAGAGCTCGCCTATCGGCCTCTGCACAAGCTGGCTCGGACACTGCAGACGCTGTTTTTGGTTCTTGGGGTAGGGACAATGAAGTTGAAAAGAGGTGAAAGAATGTAAGAAAGAACAAAATCTTGAAAACCAACATCAGAAACTGCATTTTGTGATGTTGGTATTGATTTGTTTGGAAAGTTGGATAAAGATATAGTGGGAAATAACTTTGAAGGAAAATAGTACTATATGCAACTAGAGTATATTATATGTCTGTTATAGTAATAAAATATAGGAGTAGCTTAAAAGATTTGAAAAGGAAGGATGGGCTGTATGACTTAGACAACAAGGTATAATGATGAAAAAGATATTGGAAAAAATCTGAAGAGAAGAATGATTTGGTCTGAATTTCTGAACAATTGTTTCACTTATTTATAGAGAGTTTTGACTAGGAACTGTAATTTGTGGTTAAAATAGTAGTTTTTTCTCAGGTGTGAGTGGGAGGGTGAAATTTAAGTGACTTCACATGTAAATATGACCGTTTTTTAGGCTCATTCACGAGTATCCTAAAGTCCATAGGAACGTTGGAGCGCACTATGCATTAGGTTTAAAATTCTTTCCCACCTTTTGGGAACAATTCACTAAGTTATTTTGAATTTTTCTGGTCTACTATTTCACCTTATGCACCGATCTACACGGGTGAAAGTCTCGTTGGGGGTTGGGGGGGGGGGGGGGGTACAGGCGGGTCGGACATGGACTGGTAAAAAACGAATAATACAAAACGAAAATAATATCCGACGCGGTCATATTCGTTGTTTATTTTTTTCTAGCCATATACATAGATTACACATTGATTATACATAATTATACACATATGATACATAAATTATGCATATCTCATACCTCCATAGGCTATTTTTAGTTTAAATGGTTAGGTGGTCGGCTATTTGAGTTAATTATTCTATTAATTAATACGGATAAAAAATGAGTTAACTGGTGCATAATATGGATATCGTATTATCCATGATTTCTCTAATGTGATCAATTTTTTGAGAATTTCTAGTCTTCAAATTTGACGAACCCCCAACTTGTGTCGATTCAAATGTAAAAGTTAAACCTATTATTTATCCATTAAGTATCTATATTTAAGTGGATAATATGGATAAGATCCATATTAGACCCAATTTTTAAAAGGTCATTATCCAACCTATTTTTTAGTAGATAATATACATACATAATTATTTTTTTGTTCATTTTACCACCACTAGGTAAGATCATTGAAGGTTTTAAAAGAGGACGAGATCGAAAATCTCACTAAAAGAAGTTGTTTTAAAGACCTATAATCTTTTGAAAATCCATGCAGACCTACTGAAAACATGCCACGAAATAAAATGATCAATACATGTAATAGAAATTAGAGAGATTAACTCTTAGTCATGTTAAATTCAGAGTTTTTGGTCTGATAAAAAAAAATACTAATAGAATTATATGTAGAGAACTTCTAGTACCGAAGAAACTATTTCATATATATTGAACTGAAATAAGTATATATTATGCGAGATAAACAGTGAAAATTTATATAGTTCACCTCAACTTACCTGAGATTGTGATGTAGTAATTATACTATTTAACTCACCATTCCTCGCTTATAATTTGAGTATAAAAAAATGTCTATTGGTGGAAGTACCATTCATCCTGTTACCTTTTATTGAGAAAGGGGTAACTTAAGTGTAATATAGAAAGGGCAGAATAGTCATTTCACTATGTATGTTAATTAACAGAAATTAGGAGTCCATTAGTTAGTTAATTACATATCTATATAATGTAAATCAACAGATTTTCTAACACACGCAATAGATATGAAATCATTTCCTGCTTATTTCTCTCTCTAACTTCTCTCTAGTTCATCTCCTCTAACTCTTCTTCATCGCTAGGGTTCATACCCTGTTCATTTCACCTTTTAAGTTTGGAGATTATAGTTTTTGCATTTAATCTAAACAATTATTACTACAGTCGCGAACCTGACAGAACTTAATTATTATTAAGAAATAAAAAGAAGAATATGGATTTTTGAAGATTTTTGGCATTTCGATTGACACCAAATCAATGAGGTGAAGCAAATTTTCACCTTAAATGTATTCTACTTACATTATGAGGGGAGGAAATTTATTGGATTTGGTCAATTGTACGTGGTTGTTACATTTTGACAATATAAATAAATAATACTATTGGAGTAACGAATTTAAGTTTATACATCAGCCATATATAATGTTTTTACACATTACTATAATTTAACATATTAAACAAGTTAATTACTATTTTTACTAGGTTTACATACAATTATTTTATAAATAATTTAAAAGTAATTTTTTATTATTATCAGTGCATAAAAATTAAACTTACTTATAATTTATCCTTTGCCTCATTTTAATGAAAATACATTGAATATCCGTTAGTCCAGATTAAAAGGAAAATACAAAAAGAAGAAAAAACGTTTAGGATTTAAATCGTCAACCTACTACTTGACAAACGCATGTGATTTCTTTATTGATATATGTTGAATTGCTGTTGTACAGAATGATGTGATTATCGACTTTCCTCTTTTGGAAGTTTGCTACTTTGCTTGCAACTAAATTTAATTAAACGGTCCAATCACAGTAAAACCACTTAATATAATTGGTATCTAAAGGTAAAAAATTTTTTGCTGTCTTCTCGTTAATTATCCTTTTATGATTATAATAATATCTCCCAACATTATGGTAGCGTTTAAACATAAATTTGGTTAAAACATGGAAAAAAAGAGTTTTTGAAGTTGCATTAAAAAAAAAATTGAAAGTTGAAATTATATTTGGACATGTATTTTAATTTTTTTTTAAAAATTTGATGTTTATGCGCGAAAGAAAATATTTTACCCCAAAACTGCCATGCACCAATTTTTGGGAATATTTTTTTTTTCAAAAACTGATCATATTCTATAAACAAACAGTATTTTCAATTATTTTTTGAAAAAAAGCAACCGAACTCTACGGTCAAACAAGAGTTATATTTGATGCTTGTATTTTTTCAAACAAAGTGAGCCGTACGGTCAAAAACTTCTCTATAACATCTATTCTCT